TATTCCAGAATAAGTTTCAGGCTTTTTCAACCACCAAACTAGCCCCAATAGGTCATCACTAAGACTGATTTTATTTAAAGCATTTGTAACACAGGACTGATCTAAGTGTTTCCCTATGATTTTAAAATTTAAGATTTTGCCATGTAACATAATAGTTTTTAATTGCAGTAAAACACATGTAAAATTTGCCATTTTAAAGTGTACAATTCAGTAATAGTATATTTACAATGTTGTGCAACCATTACCACTATTTAGTTCCGTAACATTTTCTCCACCTCAAAATGAAACCCCACACCCACTGAGAAGTCCCTCCCCATTCTTCCCTGCCCAGTCTCTAGTAACTGCTTACTGGCTTGAATAGAATCATGTGTATGTGGCCTTCTACCTGGTTTCTTGCACTTAGCACTTTCAAGGTTCACTCATGTTTGCATGTATTAGTACTTTCTTATGGCTGCATAATGTATGGATATACATCTTATCTACTCATCAGTTGATGGATGTGTTTTTCACATTTGGTAGTAATGAATAGTGCTGCTATGAACATTTGTCACATTTTTGAGTATTTTCAATTTTTGGGTTATGTATCCAAGATGGAATTGCTGGGTTACTGAATACTTTGCTGAGCTTAAATACTGGGAAGTACTACAGCAGAAACAGTTTGGACTTCAGTAATTTAATATTTAATATAACTTACATGATTAGTCAAGTAGTTGTAGTTCTAGGTCTACCTCTTTTGAACCTCATTTCTATAAAAGGTAGCAAATGCAGTAAGTTCTCAAACAATTATGCACAAAAATAGTACCTGAGACTTTAAAAATTTAAGTTGCTAAATTCTCATGGGTAAAGAGTCTACAATAGGTCTGAAGGCTAAGGATTTGTATTTTCAGGAAGCACTCTAGATGATTTTAATGGAGATTTTTTCCTCAGGTTTTCCATACTTCAGAAATGTTTGTATCTGACTCTCAGTTGAAATCAAATTAGGCAAAAAATACTAAGGTAGTATAATGTAGCTAATTGTCTTAGCTTTCAAG